CGCTCCCCGCCTTCGCCGCGCCCTCCTCGCCGGGGATGGGCCCCCCCGCCGCCGTCCAAGCAGTCGCCTCCCGGCCGCCGCCGCTTCACTCGCCCTGAGCCCGCCTCGCCCCCGGCCCGCGCCTGCCGGCCCTCGAGTAGCCACCATGCTGCCGCCCTCACCCTCCCGCCCGGGGCTGCTGCTGCTGCTGCTCCTGTGCCCCGCGCACGTCGGCGGACTGTGGTGGTGAGTGCGCGCCCGGCTGTCGGGGCGCTCGAGGGCGGGACGCGGGCGCCGGGCGGGGGCTCCGGGCTGCCCAGCTGCTCCGGGCGCTACCTGCGCGCAGGGCGGGCGCGGAGCCAGGCACGTGCCGCCCTCCCCGGAGTCGGCGGGGGCGCTGCGGAACCGCCGCCGGCATTCCCCGCACCCCCAGGGCAGGCCCGGGATGCGCGCTATTGTCCCCTCTCCCCAAACCCCCAGCCCTCTGGGCGCCTGCAGTTATGCGCTCAGTCCAGGTCGGAGAGAACATAGGGGGAGTCGGGGGAAGGTCTGCAGTCCCAGATCGGGAGTTGGGGGAGGGCCCTGCAATCGGAGGAGGGGACTGGATTTGGGCAAAGAGTGGAACAAGGTGAGAAGCCACCACGGAAGGGGGAAAGCCCCAAACCACCTTCTTCCTCCGGAGCAACTGGACAGACAACACAAAGGAGAAACTAAGTCAGGGCTCTGACTTTCTCTGCCTCCGCCTCCCGGAGCAAGGCTTCCAGGCTCCCCGGCCCTTCCAGATTTTGGGGTCAAGGACTAAAAACACGCGCAGTATGGGAGGTATCGGACCTGGAAGGGGTCCCCTGGGAAGGGGGCGTCTTCCCAGCACGGGCCTGTGGACCTGGTCCTGCGCCCAGGGAGCAGACACCCGGGCAGCGTAGCTGCGCGAACGCGGAGCCGCGGGGGCGGGGCGGGGGCGGGGAGGCTGCGCTGGGACCGCGCGGAGACCGGATCCCCGAGCCTTTCTTTTCCAGCGTTCGGTATCTACCCCCCTGCAAGGACCGCCCGGAATCGCTCCGAGTTTGGAGAGGAGGGATTAGGACAATAGAGCGAATGGGTCAGCCAATCCCACAAAGGCAGGGTCTCGTTCATTTGCATAGCGCGACACTATTGGCTGGAGTCTGTACAGTTTGCTCCTCCTCCGCCCCCGGGATTTGGCAGGAAGGTGGGGCCGGCAGACCCCTATCCTCTGGGGAGATAGAGAGCAGGATGCCCACACAGGGAGCTGCTGGCCTCGGCCCCTCTTCTGCGATGCGAGGGAGACACCCTTCGGGGGTGCCAGTGAGAGGACAAATCGAGGACAACTCCAGGTTGTCCAGGCACTAGGCATCCTTTAATGCTATTTTAGTAAAAATGCAGTAACAGCTTTGAAATTAGGCGGATTTAAGATATAACCTTGGGCAAGCCCCTTCATCCTCCCCGCTCCAACAATGCCTTAACTGTAAACTAGGGATAATAGCCTCTCTAGTAGCTTTACCTAGACCATTAGATGTGTGGATGTGTGTGACCTACAAAAAGAACTGACATTAGAAGTGCTCAGTTAAGGTGCCAGCATCTCAGAGGTGAAGGAATGTAATTTAAAATGTGAAGCTCAAGGTCTTAAGCAAAACTTGGTCCTAGAGCTCTCTGTTCTGTCATTCTTTAAACACCCTCCCCATTTCTGCCCTTTGCTGTGGGGTATCCCCCCTTAACTTTTCTTTTTCATCTGTTCCAAAGGTCCCTGTTCTTGTTCAAACACCACCAGTTCCTCCAACAAGCTCTTTCTCTCCTCCTTCAGAGCTCTGTTCTGCTAGTGTCCCACTCCAGCTACTGTGTCACTGATGGCCAGCCCCTCTTGGTCTCTCTTGAGCGCCTGGAAATCAGAGGTGTTGTCTTTAGAACATGGAGGTAGATTTGTGAAGTGTTGCTGAAACAAACGGTTGACTCACCTTTCTGGGATTTGAAACTATGGGGGCTCCTTTGTCCAGCATAGACTGCTTACTGGGTAGGAGCCAAGTAAAGGGAGAGAGGCCTGATCTTGGGAGCTGACCCTGAAGCTGGAAAGCAAGGAGTGGGGGAGGAGGTGTGGAGGGCAGGTGTGGGAGAACACAGGAGCCTTCATGGCCACAGCTGCAGGGTGAGCTGGGTGAGGAGTGAGGGGCAGGGGTGATAAGGTCTGTCCGCCCTCAGAGAGAACCTGCTGTTTCTGCCCACCTGCCCTCTCCTCTAACAATTCTGATGCTTCATTCCTTTGCAATCGTTGACTACTGCCCCCCTGCTACCTCTCTCCTTCCCATGCCCACATCAGCCAGGAGCTTTCAGACCGAGGGCCTGCTGGCTATTTCCTGGTGTCTAGGATCAGCTTGCTGGCCCCTTCTCCCTGCCTGTCAGGAATGCTGGCCAGGCTGGAGCTCTAGTGGTGGCCAGGAAAACAGCTGGACTCACCGCAGCCTGATGCAGCCCGTTCATTCTGAAATTCTAGCAGCAGGCAGGCTGTGACCAGAGGGAACCCCAGAACTTTTGGGTGGTGCAGCTGTCCTGGCTAGGACAGAAGGGTCCTGGAGGGGTGGCCCAGGCCCTAAAAGCAGCTCAGGGACCTGACTTTGGCCTCCGGAAGTTTTCTTACACCTTCTTTCCTGGGCTGCTTCTCTCTCTTCCATAAATGCATGCTTTCTAAACTGCCTCAGGCCTCTCTGTGTGTCTTTTTCCCATCTGTAACCATATCTTTGGGAATTTCAGATTCTCGGACATTGACCCAGCCCTCTTGAGGCCGTTTTGTCCGGCCCACTGCCTCCGGCTCATCTAGTTTATCCTCTAATCCAGCAGATCTCTCTTCGTGAGGTTGATTCAGACAGAGGCCATAGTCTCCTGGTCATCAGTTCCCACCTCCTCTCTCCTGTTAGCCAACCTTCCCAGCCTCCCCCAAGAAGTTCTTTTCCGTGTCTGTCTATCACTCTCCCAAAATAGCCATACTAATATAGCTGTTTTACTTTAAGTATAAATATATGTACTGAAGAACAACGATGTCAGTCTGGAGACTAACGTGCACCTAATCCAGGCCAGTCTTTGCAATTACTTACTATGCATAGGAAAGTTGGACAATGACTAGGGATAATAGAAGGAGAATTGATGCCTTTGAGCTGTGGTGCTGGAGAACAGTATTGGCTGCTAGGAGAACAAACAGGTTCTTCCTAGAGAGGGTGAAACCAGTCTGCCCCTTGGAGACGAAGATTCTGAAGCTCTGTGTGACATACCTTGGACAGGTTGCAGGGATAGACCAGTCCTTGGAGAGGGATGTCATTTTGGGGAGGGTGGAGGGACAGTTCAAGAGAGGAAGACCCTGGATAAAATGGATTGACTCAGTGACTGGAATAAAGGGGGTGGTAGGTGTGTCAGAGATGATGAGGTTGGCACAAGGTAGAGCAGGATTCAGAGCTGTTGTACATAGGGTTGCTATGAGATACAAATGATTTAACGACACATAACCATAACAACATATGAGGTATATAATATAGCAGTATAATACTTTCTGTGAGAGAAATTAACCCTCCCCTTGTTCCACTAGAGATGCAATCTCACTTCCTCCCTGCCCCATCTTGCATTTTCTACACACACACACACACACACACACACACACACACACACACACCCTTCACTTAAGAAGAGGCAGAAGAGAAAGAAATCTCAGACAGCCTCCTCTCTGGCTCCTCTGGGTGGCAGGGAAGGCTTCAGGCTTCCTCCTGACACCAGGGTTTTCCAGTTACCACCCCTATCCCATGCTTACCTTAGGCCGGGCCTCCCTTTGCCATCCCATCTTTTACTGGGCCCCTGACTCTCCATGGGCAGTTGTTGAACTCAGGGTGGAGTGAGTGGATTAGGAAGGGTGACTGTTCACCCCCCCCTTCAAGGCCTGTGCCTTGGCAGCTTCCCTTGAGGGAGACAATGGGGCTGTGAGCAAGAAGCGCAGAGGCAGAGAAGGCTGGCACAGTGCAGTCCTGAGCATGCCCTGAGCCCACCCTGCGTCCTGGCACTGTGTCATTTCCTGGAGGGGTGCAGCCCCCTACTGCCTCATTGTCATCAGAAATCAGGAGTTAGGAGGAGGGCTGTGGGAGGCTTGATCATCAGGGCCCATGGAGGGGGATTCCAGAAAATGCACTCTGATGGAGAAGTGGCGCTGTGCTGGGGATGAGGCGAGGGCGGGGCGGGCAGCTGGCCATGGTCAGCCTGGCAGCAGGCCCCTGGCCAAACCTCACCAGCGCTATGGACAATGGAGGTGCTCTGGAATTCTCGGATCATCGGAGAGAGCGCCCTCTAGCTGCACTCTCCTTTTTTCTCGGGGCTGGATCTGACTTTCGGCGCCTCCCCTGGACTGCTGGAGGGGGAGGAGCTGAGCGAGAGAAAGGCCAGTCTCCTCCTAGCCTCTGTGGCTGCTTCCAGCTCAGAGCCATCCGTTCAATCCAGAAATTAGACTTTCACAGGTTCTGGACATCATCCTGACCAATTTTCTTGCTTGGTGAGAGCACCAAGGTCCAGGGACAGGAGGCCCAGGACTTGTCCAAGGCCACCCAGAAAGCTGGAGTCTGCCTCTCACTGTGTGGAGTGAGGGGGTAGAAGCCCAGGAAAAGGGCTCAGGGTCGTTCCATCAGCATCTTCAGGTCTGGTCTCACTATGAGAGAGAAGGCACCTCACGGTTTCCTGGGGTCCAGTGGAGGGTCAGTCAGCCCCCTCTTGGCCTCCACAGCCCTGGCCAACCGAGAGGTGTGTGGTGAAGCCTGTCAGGGAAGGGAGGCCCTGCCTCTCAAGATCAAGATCCAGGAGGAGAGAATGTGAGATGATTGGGAGGGTAGTACTCAGGACAGAGCAGAGGGGACCACATTGGGCCAGGAAGTGGGGGAGGGGGTGGAATGGGGGGGTGGGCCGTGGGGAGGCAGGGGTTAATGGAGCTGGGGCATCACTGGCTTTGATGTGGTGGTTGGGGTGGGGGTAGCAGCTGGGGGAGGGGGAGTGGTAATTACCGAGTTAGACAGAGCAGGACAGGACAGGCGGGCGGGCACAGGCCCGGGCCCAGCCGCCTCAGCAGCCGTCAGGCAACATTTTTCTGCCCCTTATCCACCACCCACCTCTCCCACCCCTGCGCAGCCCCCACCCACAGCCCCAGGGCTCAGGGCTCCCTCTGCTGGCTCCTGGGAAGTGGGGGTCAGACTAGGAACTCTGGGGGAGGGGGC